GGGTTTATGGTCAGGTTTAGACTGTAGAAACGTAATGAAAGTCAATGGAATGTCACCAGGTAGATAGGGGTGCAAACTGGTGTGTGTGTGTGTGGGGGGGGGGGGTGTTAATAAAATGAAAAAAAAAATTCTCAGTTTCTGACAGTTTCACTACATTCCATCCAGCGGTCCATGAAATATTTTGCTAACAGACACATTTGGCTCACAAAGCCCTCATCAGTTCCAACGCTGCCAGCAAATGGTYCCAACATGGCCGAGGCAGGAAACTGCAGGGCGGGGTTTTCCTCTTTTCAAGTATCTTTAAAGCCTAAAACCTGTTTGTGCTGCTGCCTTTCTGAGGACAATTTTACGTTTGAGGAGTGTTGGCGCCTTCGTCGTCTGGTGTGATTTCTCACAGCAGGACCTTTTGGACCCTGAAGATGACCCCCGTTGTCCCCCACTATGTGATGTTTCACAGCTTTTACAGGATCATCGCTCTGATTGGCACCGAGAATCGAGGGAGGAATGAACCACCTGCCATTGTACCGGCCGCAGCCAGTGGTGGTGGGGGGGAGGGTGGGGCCAAATAAGGTAGCCGTCGTTTGCCAGCAGGAAGTGAGGCTTCCTTGTATTGAGGCTGCGAGGCCAGAGGTCAAGGAGCGGGATCAGCAGATCGAGTTACCTGTCCCCACCCCCCCTCACCCACCAGATGTGGCAGAGGACTGCAGCGGCTCCAGTCAGGAGGTGCCCCCAAATGTAGCGTGACTCCCTGCTCAGCTCTGCAGAAACTAATTGCTATTCTGAGAAATGCCATTCCTCCACACAGAGGAGCGTCTTCATCTCTATTTAAAACTTGCTTTTGTTAGGCTGCTCTGCTATTTTTAAGCTTTATATGTGAATATTTTCCTACCTTGAAACCTCTGCAGTAAGTTTCCTCCTGGCTCTGTTATGTAAAATAGATTTTCAGATATTAAAAAAAAAGAAGAACCACACCTAAAGAATGAMATGAGGTGATTGGGTCTGATTTACGGCTCTGTTTTGAAGTCTGTTTATATTCTCCATAACATATTTTCAGTGGCTCTCGTGCTTTGTTTCCCTCACAGACCTGTCTGCTCAGTCAGGAGTGATGAGTTTAGGAATGAGAAACAGGTGTGTGTGTGTTTGTGTGTGTGAAATGTGGCTCTCAGTCCTTTATCTCACTGTCGTTCCCACTCTGACCTCTCTGAGGTGGATTATCATAAAGACAGTGAAGGCAGGAGTGGGAGAAGAAAAATAACGAGAACAGAGTGGAAAAAGCAACTAAACTGATAAGTTTACCTTTGCAACAATAAGAAGAGGTTAAGTACACAAAACTCCATCTAAATCAGAGCGTGCTGTAAAGCTGTGGTCTGTGGGAATTATGGATCGTGTTAAAGTTGTGTTTTTATAATTGCTGACTTGGGTCTAAAGATCACGCCRTGCCTGACGCTGGCAAGGTCCATGAAAGTACTGTTAAAGTGGAAAACAATAATGAAAGCACAACCTGTTCCTAACGCGAGTTAAACTTTATTCAAAGGATCGGTCAGCTTCATGCTATGATCTGACTTAAGAACTCATTTGATAAAATGAATTTAAAGGTTGATTCTTCAGATTAGAGTCCTCTTGTTTCACCTTCAGCCAGTTTACGATTCGACGAAACTCCAAACTGGTATTGAGAAAATGATCAATTTAACAGACTATATTAATCCCTGTCAAGATTAAACCAGAGGCATAATTTGTGGGGGGATATGGGGAGTTATGGCCCCCATAGTAATTTGATCCAGTCAAAATAACCAATAAAACACCATTTGCTCAAACACAATAGAAGTAGACATATACAATGTCATATATGTACAGTGGTTAGACAATGAAACAGAAACACCTGGTTTTAGACCATAACATCCCTTTCAGACAGCTTCCTCTAGCGTCCACAGTTAATCCTGTTGGATGTGGTTGGTCTTTCTTGGTGGTATGCTGACATTACCCTGGATACCGTGGCTCTTCATACATCACAAAGACTTGCTGTCTTGGTCACAGATGTGCCACCAAGACGTGCACCAACAATTTGTCCTCTTTTGATCTCTGGTATGTCAGCCATAATGTYGTGTGCATTGCAATATTTTGAGCCAAACTGCGCTCTGACCCTGCTAATTGAACCTTCACACTCTGCTCTTATTGGTGCAATGTGCAATTAATGAAGATTGGCCACCAGGCTGGTTCAATTTAACCATGAAACCTCAATGACAGGTGTTTCAGTTTCATTGTCTAACCCCAGTACATTTAAGCATAATTGCTAAAAATGAAATGCAGGGTTTTAGACCATAACCCCCCCCCCCTTCCCAATGGTAGACCTAATTTAAGCCCTTTAAAGTCGAGAATAGTTTGATATCTGGTAGGGGTGTAAATCACCAGCTTTGTTACAATATATTACTACATCGATTTGTTCGGACGATGATACGATGCTTCTTGATATCACAAAGTCTGTCATGATACAGTTTTGATTTCATTCAATTAACAAGTCTATGATTGATGTGATCAACACAATTATTCCACATCAGCAATTTGATGATGATATATGGGTCAATGCTTTCATTTTGTCTTGTTGTCTTGATGTAATTAAATCATCATGTGATTGATATATCAAAGTGAATTGATATATTGATGTATTGTTACACCCCTAATCAGGGGTGTCACTAGGTTTTAAGGACATGGGGGGCTTAGCCCCCAGGAGATGCACAGAATTTTTGTATATAGTGCAAAGTATCATTTCAGTAACATTTATTTAGAGAACAATTCCTACACTTTCAGATTGTTAATTTTTTTCCATAGTTATTTTAAATCGTTCAAGGCCAAATAATATTTTAACATCAAATCAAAAATACCCCAAAACTGAACATTAAAACTATTTTACACAATAAATTAAAGAGAAACTGACAGATATATGGTCAT